CCCCCGAACCCCAAATTCACCCGCGACCCCCAAAATCCAACACAACAAACACCGAATTTCTGTCTTTTCTTCTTTTTTTTCCTTTGCTTAATTCCTTTAATTTTTTTTTTCCTTCTTTTTTTTGGGGGGGGGCAGGCAGGGCTGGGGGGCTGGGCTGGGGCCTGCGGAACAGTTTTGTGGGGCTGTAGGTCAGTTCTGGCGGTCAGGGGGTCAGTTCGGGTTTATGGGTTGGGGTCTCACCTGTGCCAGGTGCGGGCACTGCCCCAGGGCTGTGGGTCGGGGGGTCAGGGCTATGGGTCAGGGCTCATTCCCAGGGGTCAGGGCTCATTCCCGGGGTCATTCCGGGGGTCAGGGGTCATTCCCAATGGTCATTCCCGGGTCTCACCTGGGCCAGGTGCAGGCACTGCCCCAGGGCTGTGGGTCAGGGGCTCAGAGCTATGGGTCAGGGGGTCAGGGCTATGGGTCAGGGGTCATTCCCGGGGGTCAGGGGTCATTCCTGGGGTCATTCCCGGGGGGTCTCACCTGGGCCAGGTGCAGGCACTGCCCCAGCGCTGCCGCTCGCTGCGGCGCCGCCAGGGGGCGCAGCACGCGCAGCTGCACCCAGCGCGCGAGGCCGTTGGACAGCGCCACCAAGCGGCGGAGAGAGGGAGAGCTGCGCGTGCCCGCGGAGAGCGCGAAGGAGCGGATGTCACTGAGCTGGGGACAGCGGGGACAGCGGGGACATTGAGGGGACATCGGGGACATTGGGGACATTGGGGACATTGGGGACATTGGGGACATTGGGGACAGCGGGGACACTGGGATATAGGAGACACTGGGGACAGTGGGGACATCGGGGACATTGGGGACATTGAGGGGACATTGGGAACATTGAGGGGACATTGAGGATATGGGGGATGTTGGGGGGACATTGGGGACATTGAGGGAACATTGGGAACATTGAGGGGACATTGGGGACAGCGGGGACAGTGGGATATAGGAGACACTGGGAACAGTGGGAACACTGGGGACATTGAGGGGACATTGGGGACAGCGGGGACAGCGGGGACATTGGGGACACTGGGGACATCGGGACATTTGGGGACATTGGGGACATTGGGGACATTGAGGGGACATTGAAGACAGCGGGGACATTGGGGACATTGAGGGGTCATTGAGGGACAGTGGGGACATTGGGGGAACAGCGGGGACATTGGGGACAATGGGGATATTGGGGACATTTAGGGACACGGGGATGTTTGGGATATTGGGGACAGCGGGGACATTTGGGGACATCATTGGTGACATTGGGAGATTGAGGATATGGGGGACATTGGGGACAGTGGGGACATTGGCAACACTGGGGACATTTGGTGACTTTTAGGACATCGGGGACATCGGGACATTGGGGTCCAGAGGTTCAGGGGCCCCGGGGGGCGGGTGGCACACAGGTGTGTTTTACACAGTGTCCCCAGGTCCCCCCCAGATGTCCCACAGGTGTCCCCGCTGCCCCCAGGTGTGTCCCCAGCTGTGTCCCCAGCTGTGTCCCTGCTGTCCCCAGGTGTGTCCCCAGCTGTGTCCCCAGGGTCCCCAGAGCAGATCTGGGGGGTCCCCAGAAGGGATCCAGGGGTCCCAAGGGGGAATCTGGGGCTCCTCAGGGGGATCTGGGGGTCCCCAGGTGGATTCTGGGGTCCTCAGAGCGAATCTGGGGGTCCCTAAGGGGGTCTGGGGGCCCCCAGGGGAATCCGGGGGTCCCCAGAAGGGATCCAGGGGTCGCAAGGGGGGATCTGCGGGGTCCTTAAGAGGATCTGGGACTCCAAAGGGAGATCCGGGGGTCTCCAGAATGGATCTGGGGGGTCCTCAGAACGCATTTGGGGGTCCCCAGATGGATCTGGCGGTCCCGGGGGGGTTTTGGGGTCCCAGGAAGGTTTCGGGGTCCGGGGGACTTTTGGGGTCCGGGGCGGTTTTGGGGTCCGGGGTTGTTTTGGGGTCCCAGGAAGGTTTTGGGGTCCGGGGGACTTTTGGGGTCCCGGGGGGGTTTTGGGGTCCGGGGGGGTTTTGGGGTCACTCACCGCACCAAGTGGCCGATCTTGAGGCGCAGGGAGGGACCCTCGGCCGAGTCCCCCGACTCCTGCACCGTGCGGGGGGGTCAAGGAGCGGTGGGGGGTCCTGGAGGGTTTTGGGGAGGTTTTGGGGGTCCTGGAGGGGTCAGTAGGTGCCATGGAGGGGTCACTGGGTGGCATGGAGTGGTCACTCCGTGCAGTGGTCACTCTGTGCAGTGGTCACTATGGAGTGGCCACTCTGCACTGGTCACTGCACTGGTCACTCTGCCCTGGTCACTCTGCCCTGGTCACTCCGCAGCAGTCACTGTGCCCTGGTCACGGCACTGGTCACTCCGCCCTGGTCACTCTGCCCTGGTCACTCCGCCCCGGTCACTCCGCTCCGGTCACTCCACAGAGGTCACTCTGCCCTGGTCACTCCACCCTGGTCACTGTGCCTTGGTCACTCTGCCCTGGTCACGGCACTGGTCACTGTGCCCTGGTCACTCCACAGTGGTCACTCTGCCCTGGTCACGGCACTGGTCACTCCGCCCCGGTCACTCCGCCCTGGTCACTCTGCCCCGGTCACTCCGCCCTGGCCACTCCGCCCCGGTCACTCCGCCCTGGTCACTCCACAGCAGTCACTGTGCCCTGGTCACTCCGCCCTGGTCACTCCACAGCAGTCACTGTGCCCTGGTCACTCCGCCCCGGTCACTCCACCCCGGTCACTCCGCCCTGGTCACTCTGCCCCGGTCACTCCGCCCTGGCCACTCCGCCCCGGTCACTCCGCCCTGGTCACTCCACAGCAGTCACTGTGCCCTGGTCACTCCGCCCTGGTCACTCCACAGCAGTCACTGTGCCCTGGTCACTCCGCCCTGGTCACTCCACAGCAGTCACTGTGCCCTGGTCACTCCGCCCCGGTCACTCCGCTCCGGTCACTCCACAGAGGTCACTCTGCCCTGGTCACTCCACCCTGGTCACTGTGCCTTGGTCACTCTGCCCTGGTCACGGCACTGGTCACTGTGCCCTGGTCACTCCACAGTGGTCACTCTGCCCTGGTCACGGCACTGGTCACTCCGCCCCGGTCACTCCGCCCTGGTCACTCTGCCCCGGTCACTCCGCCCTGGCCACTCCGCCCCGGTCACTCCGCCCTGGTCACTCCACAGCAGTCACTGTGCCCTGGTCACTCCGCCCTGGTCACTCCACAGCAGTCACTGTGCCCTGGTCACTCCGCCCCGGTCACTCCACCCCGGTCACTCCGCCCTGGTCACTCCACAGCGGTCACTCCGCCCTGGTCACTCTGCCCTGGTCACTCCGCCCCGGTCACTCCGCCCCAGTCACTCCACAGTGGTCACTCCACAGCGGTCACTCCGCCCTGGTCACTCCGCCCCGGTCACTCTGCCGCGGTCACTCCGCCCTGGTCACCCTGCCCTGGTTACTGTGCCCCGGTCACTCCACAGAGGTCACTGTGCCCTGGTCACGGCACTGGTCACTCCGCCCCGGTCACTCCGCCCCGGTCACTCCGCCGCGGTCACTCGGGCTGAGCGCTGCCCGGCCCCGCACCCCTTCCTGTCGAGCTCCTCGACGTCGGGCACCCTCATGCCGAAGATGAAGAGGTTCTCCTCGCCCGCCTCCTCGGCCATCTCCACGTTGGCGCCGTCCATGGTGCCGATGGTCAGCGCCCCGTTCAGCATGAACTTCATGTTCCCGGTGCCCGAGGCCTCCGTGCCCGCCGTGGAGATCTGCTCCGACAGGTCCGCAGCCGGGATCACTGCGGGGGGGGATGTCGGGGGGTGTTGGGGTGATATCGGGGCATATCGGGGTTATATCACGGGATATCGGGGTTATATCGGTGGATATCGGGGTGATATCGGGGCATATCGGGGTTATATCGCGGGATATTGGGGTGATATCAGGGGATATCGGGGTGTATTGGGTGATATTGGGTGATATCGGGGTGTATTGGGGGATATTGGGGGATATCGGGGTTATATCAGGGGATATCGGGGTTATATCGGGGCATATTGGGGTGATATTGGGGGATATCGGGGTGTATTGGGGTTATATCAGGGCATATCGGGGATATATTGGGGGATATCAGGGTGTGTTGGGTGATATCGGGGTGTATTGGGGTTATATCGGGGGATATCGGGGTGTATTGGATTATATTGGGGGATATTGGGGTTATATCAGGGGATATCGGGGTGTATCGGGGTGATATTGGGTGATATTGGGGTGTATTGGATTATATTGGGGTTATATAGGGGGATATCAGGGTGTATTGGGTGATATTGGGGTGTATTTGGGTTATATCAGGGTGATATTGGGTTATATCGGGGGATATCGGGGTGATATTGGGGAGTATTGGCATTATATCAGGATTATTGGGGGATATTGGGGCTATATCAGGGGATATTTGTTTTATATCAGGGTTATTTGGGGTGATATCGAGGTTATTTGGGTAATATCGGGGTTATTTGGGGGTGTATCGGGGGGTGTTTGGGTTATATCGGGGTTATTGGGGTGTATCGGGGCTATTTGGGGTGACACCAGGTGACAGTCGGGATATTTGGTGACACTGAAGTGATAGCAGGGGATATTGGAGATCCCACAGGGGGGATTTGGAATTTTGGGGTGGGTTCAGGGGTTTTTGGGGTGGGTTCAGGGGTTTTGGGGTGGGTTCAGGAGGATTTGGGGGTTCAGGGGTGTTTTTTGGGGTTTTTTGGGGTGCCCACCCTTCTCGGCCAGCGACACCCGGTAGTTCTCCAGGAACAGATCCCACAGGGGGGTTGGGGATTTTGGGGTGGTTCAGGGGTTTTGGGTGGTTCATGGAGGTTTTTGGGGTTGTTCAGGAGGATTTTGGGGTGATTTGGGGGGGTTTTTTGGGGTGCCCACCCTTCTCGGCCAGCGACACCCGGTAGTTCTCCAGGAACAGCACCCGCAGGCGGGTTGGGGATTTTGGGGTGGTTCAGGGAGGTTTTTGGGGTGGTTTAAGGAGGTTTTGGGGTGGGTTCAGGAGGATTTTGGGGTGATTTTGGGGTTTTTTGGGGTGCCCACCCTTCTCGGCCAGCGACTCCCGGTAGTTCTCCAGGAACAGCACCCGCAGGTGGGTTGGGGATTTTGGGGTGGTTCAGGGGGTTTCAGGGAGGTTTTTGGGGTGGGTTCTGGAGGATTTTGGGGTGGTTTAAGGAGGTTTCGGGGTGGGTTCAGGAGGATTTTGGGGTGGTTTGGGGTTTTTTGGGGTGCCCACCCTTCTCGGCCAGCGACACCCGGTAGTTCTCCAGGAACAGCACCCGCAGGTGGGTTGGGGATTTTGGGGTGGTTCAGGGAGGTTTTTGGGGTGGTTCATGGAGGTTTTTGGGGTTGGGTTTTGGGGTGGGTTCAGGAGGATTTGGGGGTTCAGGGGTGTTTTTTGGGGTTTTTTGGGGTGCCCACCCTTCTCGGCCAGCGACACCCGGTAGTTCTCCAGGAACAGCACCCGCAGGGGGGGTGGGGCGTTTGGGGGGGTTCGGGTGGGGTGGTTCAGGGGTTTTGGGTGGTTCATGGAGGTTTTTGGGGTTGTTCAGTAGGATTTTGGGGTGATTTGGGGGGGTTTTTTGGGGTGCCCACCCTTCTCGGCCAGCGACACCCAGTAGTTCTCCAGGAACAGCACCCGCAGGCGGGTTGGGGATTTTGGGGTGGTTCAGGGGGTTTCAGGGAGGTTTTTGGGGTGGGTTCTGGAGGATTTTGGGGTGGTTTAAGGAGGTTTCGGGGTGGGTTCAGGAGGATTTTGGGGTGGTTTGGGGTTTTTTGGGGTGCCCACCCTTCTCGGCCAGCGACACCCGGTAGTTCTCCAGGAACCGCACCCGCAGGCGGGTTGGGGATTTTGGGGTCGTTCAAGGGTTTTTGGGTGGTTCATGGAGGTTTTTGGGGTTGTTCAGGAGGATTTTGGGGTGGTTCAGGGGGTTTCAGGGAGGTTTTTGGGGTTGTTCAGGAGGATTTTGGGGTGATTTGGGGTTTTTTGGGGTGCCCACCCTTCTCGGCCAGCGACACCCGGTAGTTCTCCAGGAACAGCACCCGCAGGTGGGTTGGGGATTTTGGGGTGGTTCAGGGAGGTTTTTGGGGTGGTT